TATTTTGTTCTTCACTTCTCCACTTTTTAAAAATTTCGAGTTATTGATTGTGTTATATACCTCAAAATAATGTTTTTTTACAATATTGAAGCCTAAGTTATAATCAAAAAAGTTGCTTTTTATAAGTCATATCCTTAAGTTTTTTTATATCGTTTTATCTCAAAACTCAATAATGTGAAGATAGAACAAAAGAATTTTAACCTAACGATATAGCAGAATGCTTGGCCAGTTTTTAAGGCCGGCACAAAGTGGGAGGGTGTGTGGGGTGTAACAACCCATTTTATGAACTTTTATAATGTAAGTCGGCAAATTGGAACCATTTATGTACCATCAGTCGGCAAATGGAAACCTTTTTTTAGATTTGTCGGCAAATGGAAACCTTTTTTTAAATTAGCATGTTGGGGAATTAGAAAGCTTTTTTTTCTTCGGCAAACATATAACAGTCAAAACAAGCATGATTTCTCCGCCCTTACTTCTCTCTCTTTCACATGCATACATAACGCCTACTGGCACCGGGCCTGACAATATCTTTCTAAAAACAAAATGTTCATGAGAGCGGAAAGTTGCGGTGATCAACGATTTGTTACCAAATACAAATCAATCCATTATGAAATTTTTTGTAGAGGTCAAGAAAGTACAAGACAGTTAAGGTCCGAGACCATGATCAAGACTTTAGGTTTTCAAGACCAAGGTCGAGACCGAGACCAAGACTGTTAAATACGAGTCTTAAGTAAAAGGCTTTAGTCTCGATACCTACATCCATGAGCGGATACATAGGAGGGGCAATTGGGATAATCGTTTTCCTCCTGATAGATATTTTATAATGAACTTTTTTTTGTAAATATGTAGGCTTTTAAAATTTATCTGAAATCAGGATATCAATATAAGACTTAATATTGTATTTGCATAAAATAAGACAGACCAAAATTAAAAAAAAGTTTTATGATTTGTGGGCTAGCCTGCTCACAAGTTATTAAATCTAAAGATTGTCCCCCTACTTTACTAAATGGTCTGGATCCACCAAATTAAAAAAAACTAAAAAATTGCCTCCAACACCCTCTCCCTCTCTATATATATAAATAAAATTTCACAGGAAGTTGGGAATTGTTATAATTAATTATGTAATACACATTTTTTTTTGTATAAGCAACTCGTTTATAAGCAACTGAACTCGATGTGAAAAAATATTAAGCAACTTTAGTTCTGAACAAATGTTAACATAAGCAACTCATAAATTGCAATTTTTTTCTCTGCAATGTAATGACTTCTTTTAGATAAACGATTTCAAAAGAAAGTAATCACGGTAGTGTTGTTGTTGTGTATGTTGTTGACAACGCTGTTAAGATCATGAGTAAGAGAAAGCAGACAAATTTGTTCAACTTTGGTTTTACCAAAAAGATTTGTCATCGTGGTGAGTTGGTAAATGTAGTGCCGAAGGAAAAAGAAGAATAATTTGTTTGAATGTATTGTTTGCAAAAAATCACTGAAAACATTGCAAGCCCTTTCGATGCACGAGTTTTGGTGTAAAAAGAAGATATCACATACGGATATTGCTAAAACTGACAAAGACCCGAAATTAATGAGCTTAGATCAAATCATTGATGGAAAGAACAAGTACGATAATATTGAAAAAACTGTGAAATCGGTTTTAGAGAAGCTTGTTACTGATGTTGAAGCTAACGAGTTACCAAAAATTGCTGACAAACGGAAGAGCTATACGTTAAAAGAAAAGGTTGATGCGCTAAATGACTTAAATGATGGTATGCAATGGAAATCAAAAGAAAAAGAAACCTCCAACAAGTACAACGAAAAAAAGAAAAACACGTTATTCAGGAAATGCCGAAGAAGTGACAAACACAAAGCTTTGTTTAACAAACAAAGCTTTGTGTTTGTCAAATGACAAACACAAAGATTATGACAAATTCTCCGAAGCAAGAAAAAAGGGGCTAAAAGTTAACTTTGAGTGGTTGTATGTCCAAACGAATCAAATTCATCTACAACAAAGCCCAAATGCTGACAGATTGCCAAAATCAATAGTCACTCATTTCTTAAGAAAAAATAAGATCCGCATGCTGTGTGTTCAACGTAAGCGCCAAGTTGACGTAAAGAAGCAAACCCCGATTCTGATGAAATGACATTTAAATTTGAGAGAAAAGTTGATTAAGTCTGGAAGTGGCAAACCCACATACGATAAAAAATGGGGGCATTTCCCACCGAAAAAGAGAATCAATGTAGATCAAAATCCAATCCCGTTTGTAGTCAAGAGCAAACCAACATACGAATAATTCCAATTAGTAAGGGAAAGGAACGAAGGGACCATAGAGTATGGGTAGCTCAGCCTGGCAGTGGGCTTGATAAGCGACAAGCTACCCTTCAAATATGTTTCAGTCCTGAAGGAATGGCGAAGCCGGCGTTGATTTTCAGAGGTAAGGGAAAAAGGATTAGTCAAGATGAAGTTTTAGCCAATGACACTGATGTAAATGTATTGGCAACCAAATGCATGGGCAGATACAGCGTTTTCCGTGAAATGGGTGAAGAACACTCTTTCCAATGCTGTCGCTAACCTGGATGAGTATGATTTGTTCTGCGATAACCTGACAGCCCATGTCAGTGATGAGTTTTTGAATGAAGTGCGACATCATAAAGGTATTGTATGGTTTAGTGTTCCCAACGGGACACATTTTTGGCAACCTGTTGATGCCAGGAAAAGCATTCAAATCACATATTAAAGCAGAACAAAACATCTGGCTTGAAAATGATGAAAACATCGAACTCTGGCTTGGCAACGATGATCGGAAACTGTCGGCAAAAGATCGCCGCATTTTGATAACTCGTTGGGTCGGTGAAGCTTACCGTAAAACATCCAAAGACGAGAAATTTCTTCGTATGCTTTATAGGAGCTTTGCGAAAACAGGATGTCTTATCACGGCTGATGGTAGCGAGGACGATAAAATAAATCCTGAAGGCATGCCTGCTTATGTTGTTCCACCCCCTGTTGACATCGACAACCTAGTGGAAATCACAGAGACTCCTATTCCAGACGAAGTAAAGGATAACCCGATTGATGTTTTGCCTGAATCAGACGGTGAAGACGAGGAACTAGATGGACAAGTAGAAAAATCAGACGGACAAGAAGACGAAGAAAGTGAAGATGAAGAAAATAAAGATCCAGCACAAGAGTGAAACATTTGTGAAATTTAGGCTAATAAACTTAAGCAACCATTAAGCAACTCGAGATATAGAAATTGGCTGAAAAATAAGCAACTCGAGTTCTGACCGAAATTCTAAGTTGCTTATACAAAAAAAATCGTGTAACTGTAGTTATTTCGCATCCAAGAAATTGCATCACCTACATTAAAATTAAAAAATTGATCATGAAAAGAATTCTTTAAAATTAGGTTAATTTTAGTTTGTTCATTTGTTTTCATAATTTTTTAAACGGTACTTTCCAGATTTTTTTGTTTGTTGAGTTTTCTTTGACGGAGCGGAAATCTGCGAATGTCTTGCCTTATATATTTTTAATTCCCTAGCTAAAATAGTTCATTTTAATGAATTAGGCTTGCATCGCGATGATGGTTTAATATTAACGCAAAATAAAATCAGGGTGTAAAAAGAAGTCAGGGCCTCAACTTGACAAAATCAGAAAATATATAAAAATTTTCAAAAACATTGGCACCTAAATTGAATTTAATATTAATTTAAAAACTGTGAATTTTCTTTATGTTACATTTAACCTCTCTGAAAATTATTACACGCCTTAAGGTGAGTTTTCACTCATCCGTTTTTTCATGGAAACGGAAAGGGAAAAATAATCACGTGGGCATGCGTATTATGGTAGGCTCTCTTGTCAAACCGTTATTCCGACGCTGTCCTTAAGGTCCGAAAATGTAAAAAAACGACTTTTTTATTTAAATGAGAACCTGTCTACTCCAAACCCTCTTAAGTTTCAATTTGTCAGAAGTAAAACTACTCCTGCTCACGTGATTATTTTTCCAGTTCCCGTAGAAAACGGATCAGTGGCGTATATTATTATAAATTCAAATTATCCCCCTCAAATTTTAAAACAAGTTCTTATTTCAATTAACAATAGACTAAATTAAAACTCTTCTAATGAAAATACTTTAAATCTTCTAAACTTGTGTATAAAGATGCTCTTAAAAAAAAGCGGATTAAAAAATTTCGAGATGAAATTTAAAACGAGTTGCAAAAAAGCGAAATAGAAATATTACTTGGTTCAACCCTTCAGCAAAAATATTTCAACAAATTTTGGAAAAACGTTTTTTAAATTATTAGACAAACATTTCCCTCCTTTTAATAAATTGCCCAAAATTTTAACAAAAAAACTATTTAAGTAAGCTATAGCTCTAGAAAATATATTGAAAGAATTATAAATAGCCACAATTTTGCATTGAATAATAAAAATGAATTTCTTAAAAAAAAAACACTGAAAATTGTAATTGCAAACAAAAAATTCACCACCTTATGAATGGCAAATGCTTATCAAAAAAATACTATTTTACAAATAGATTGTTTCCTTACAAAATATCTCTGAAAAACAATACATTTGTGTATTCTAAAAACTGCGCCCGCCTATTAATAACATTTCCAAAAATTGTAAACTATGTTTACAAGAAAAATTTTAAGTTATTTTTCATTTGGATCAAAAAAATTTACTTAACAAAAAATCTGAATTAATTTCTAAACGCAGACACGAAAATAAATTCCGCTTAAAAAATTATAAAAACAAATGGCCAGACTAAAGTTAACCTAATTCTAAAGAATTCTTTTCATGATTAATTTTTTAATTTTAATGTAGTTGATGCAACTTCATTGTTGCAAATAACTAGAGTTAATTTGCAAATAACTTCTTGTGAAATTTTTTTTTCTATAATTTGAATTTTTTGTTCAGACATTCTTCCTTATGAACCTACTGATGGAGAAACAAATTGTTGAAGATAAAGACTAAATAAGTGTTTTTATATTCATATATAGATACACCACTAGCATACATGTGGATACATAATTGCATGTACAAATACATAAGTAAAAACCCTCAAAAAAAATTTTTCAAAGGTTTTTCTTTGAAAACAAATTTAAATTGTTAAGAAAAAAGTAAAGATGAAATAAAAAAAAAAAAAAAAAAAAAGATGAAATATTAAAAAACTATTTTAATATAAAGTTAGTTTATTATAGTTATTTTAGTATAAAGTAGAAGTTATTTAAATATAATGTAGAAGATTAGGAAGTCATCCACTGCATTTGTGTGGAAATCATATACTGATTGAAAACACGATGTTGATACATGTTGTGTATGTGTATGTAAATTACACTAACACAAATAAGTATACTATATACTATAAAAAAATAAGTCCATTTAAACCCACTAAAAATTTTAAAAGTTTAAAAAAAAAATTACTATTCCTAGTTTAAGCTAAGATCTTCAAGATTCTTGAAAAAAATTATTTAATTTGTTTGCAAGGTCCAGAACTACATGCATTAAAATTTTAAGTTTAAATATTAAAATATATTTTCAAAATTTTAAATGAAATTATTCGAATATTAATAAAATAATAATTAATAACAATGAATAAAATAAAAATAGAGTTACTAGAAAATAAATAAAGTTACTATAAGGAACATATTGGAAATTTCAAAGAGTTATCAAAAAAATCTATAATATCCTTCCACACTTTTATTTGTGATAGAGCATGTAGATGGATATTTCTTCCACCATATTCAATTAGCAAATCTGAATATTGAACATGAAAAGCACAAAATGAAACAGGCATATACGGAGAATCTACTAAATGGCCTAAACCATCATAAGTTAAAACATTAATACTCCCAGATTTAGCTGAACTTTTTTGGTGATTTAGAATTTTTAAATAATGATCTACATTTACTGAACTATCGTCAAGTCCAACAATAAATAATATAGTACATTTTGATTGAGTAAAAGGAATCAAAGATGGGTGATTTATAGGCATACCAGAGTATACAGTGTTGACTAAAATTGTGCCATGCCCACTAATTTTGTAATCGTTTTCATTGAATATCAGTTTGGGAATAGTAGCTCCATGATATGCTGTATCCCCACCAATACTATGAAGACAACTGTTTATGCAAACAACTGATCTGATTTGTGGCAGAAAAGAAGCCATGGCTAATGCAATGCCTCCACCTTTACATATACCACACAATCCAATAGATTTTTTGTCAACAATTGAAAGATTTTGAAGAAATATGAGAGCTTCTTCAAAGTACTCTATATCAAGGTTGTTATAAACTTTTGGAAGATTATCGACATTAAAGTATGCTAATGCTAAAGATACGTAACCATTGTTTGCAAAAATTGCTGAACTATCCTGTATAGGCAATCGTTTCTTGGTTACACCATATAATGTAATAACTGCAGGAAACAGACCAGTACCAGGAGGACAGAATAGAATACCACGAATTCTTCCAGATTTAATAAATTTTATAGAAACGCCTTTAGCTAATATATGTCGATTAGCTTTAGTTTTACAAATCAAGTTATCATCAATGAAGTCACAAGCATGAGAATTATAAACCTTAAACTCGTACACTAAAGGAACACTTGGATCAGCAACTTGGAGCCGATTAATACTTTTTGGTTTGTTTTTCATTGACCAAAACAATCCCATTTGATGAATACCTGTATAAGTTCCTCCCAGAGATTCAGTATTGCTTAAATCAAAAGATCCATTTTGTGAGGTAATTATATTAGCATATGAAAAAAAAGAAATATTCTCAGACTTGCTGACTACTGATGCAACTATTGTAACTGATGATTTAGGTTTAAAATTAAATCCATAAATTTTCAATGAATCAATGAAAAGTGAATCCTTGGGCTCTACAGCTATTTCTGGAGCACATGCCATTGTATTTTAATTTAAAATTTAAGCCATGATTTTTTTTTATATTTATTTGAAGTAGCTCTCTTTAAAACAAAACAAAATTTCTAACTTTAAACTGTAAATTTACTTTTACGTTTTGTGTATTTAGATTGTTTATGTGTAGTTACATTAGTAACGTTTATGTGTATTTACATTGATGTAACGTAAATCATTACGGTTGTGTTTAGATCATATCCCATACGGAACGATTATTTTTGTTTGCGTATTTTTAATAGCAAGGTAGATAAAAGATTAAAAAGCAAGATAGATAAAAACAATAGTAAATATTTCGTAGGGGTAGTGCAAATCCGCGTAACTTACTAGGATATTTGGATATTATTAATTTTAACACCAAATATTTATTGTTAAGATTACAAAAAACATGAATAATACCCTTTATACTAAAATGAACCCAAAACCAGTTAAAATAAAAAATATATAAAGTTTTAAACTTCTCCAGTAAAAAAAACGTACCGTAGATACGTCGTATTATCCAATGCTAGTTACGCGGTTTTGTACTATCCTCGACGATTTAGTTTTCTAAATGACATTGAAGCCTTATTATTATTAAAAAAGCCATATTAAATTTATCTTACACTTAAATAACGGTGCTATTTAATAAAAATATTGAATAACAATAAACAAAACTAACAAAGTGCAATGTTTAAAAATGATTTAAGTACTAAAAATGCACTTAAAACAACGGTCTCTAATTTTAAATAAACTTTTTTAGGGTAAAACCACCAAATCTAGGCCACTTAATTTTAAACTGCTTCATATGTTACCGCAATTGGCTAAGACTCTTGAAAATATTTCTATACTTTTAAAAAACCTCTCGAGATCATCAAAAATTTCCAAACTTGTCATTTTATGATAAGTTTGGAAATTTTTGATAATAAATTAAAAAGTTTTAGCACAAATGTTACAAGGCGTAAAAAATACCAAATCATAGCCATTGCGAACTTATTCATGGCCATTACGTTTTACGATGTAAAAGTAGTGATAATATTTTAAATTAACAACAAAACAAATTTATTGTAAAGAGTTTAAAAAAAGAAGTTCTGCGTAAATTTTTACTTGTGTAGATTTAATTCTTTTTTTTAACAGGTAAACTAACAATAGATTTAAAAGCGCTTCGTAACATTTAAAGTTTTCAAATTAGCAAATGTTTTAAAATAAATAAAAAACGACTCTTCGTTTCCAACTTCACCGATAACGTTTAAATGCTTCGAGCGGGTTCAAACCCGCAACCTTTGGTTGCTTTAACCACTGCACCACGGCTACTAATCTAATAATAATCATTTCATTTATATCGTATCTACATGAATGTAGATACGATATAAATGGTTCTTCAAAGAACCTTCTTCGAATGGTTCTTCAAAGAACCTTCAAGGGTTCTTCGCGTTGACGCTGGTGGAACACTCGTAGAGGTTCTTCAAAGAACCTTTGAAGAACCCTTTGCAAAGGTTCTTCGGAAGAACCTTAAAATAAAGTTCTTTAAAGAACACGTTATAGTTCTTCATCGAACCGTTCAATGTTTTTGCATAATTACTTCGTTACAAGGATACTTTTTTGACTTCTTGAACATTTTTTATATTATATATTATACAATATATAATCATTTAATAGATTTTTAATAGTTAATTATAATTATTTAAGATATTTAAGCTAGTTGCTTAAGGTCGAAAATAAAATTGTAAACAACGACTTTCCTAAATATTTAACATATATTTAAACATATGGCAATAAAGAAAAAAAAACTATTTTTAAACAATTTATATAAATACTTTCAAACAAATAACAAAAATAAACTTTATTTTACAATCCAATATGTCTATGTTTATAAAAATATGTCATCAATTATAAAAAAAAGTTTTCTAGTGTTAAATCCATTGTCCAATATATAAATGTTTTTCCTTGAAATTAGATGTACGAATTAACGTGAGATTTCTGAAGTCGCAGTCGTTTGAAGAATTATCTAAAATTCAATATTGGAACACAGTTTGAAAATTTTAAACCCTAATACCAAAAACAACTCCTATGAAAACCCTTTTGAGGGGTGTTAGTACATATCATAGGGATCTCATAACAAGTAATTTTGAAATCCGGGATTACCTTCCGCAAGACTTATTCAACATTGAAGTTTTTGCTTTTAAATTACGAAACCTGAAAAATTGCAAAATTCCTCCAAAAATATATGGCTGCCCTAAATTACCATATTATGAAGTAAAAAGGTAACAAATGATAAAAATACATCTTAAAACATTTATTTATTACAAAATAAATACATTCTAAAAATAAACTAATAAATTCTCAAAAATGCAACATGTTCATTGATAGTCAGTGCCTTATAGCAAGCTACTCTACGTTTTCTTGCTGTTATAATCAATGACACACTTCAGGAGTTGACTGGAGTAGTCTGGATGGGTGTTCAATCTTTTGTATCGCTCCCAATGCTTGCCAAAATCCGAATGCAGTGTTTCAGTGGCTTGTTCACTGTATAGACCAAGGCTTTTCTTTTTCAGCTTGATGAACTGTGTCACATGGTGGAAAACAGTGTAAACCTTTGGAGTAACAGAGATTCCCAAACTCATGTAACTGTTTTTGAAGATGGTGATTTTCTCCTCATAGTTGGGATGTAAAGTTTTTCCAAAGCATGCAGAGTGAACTTCATGAAAGTCTTTGAATGTCTGAATGAATTAAGATGGCTCAGAAGTGCTCTCATTTTCAGCCATTTCAGCCAATTTGTCAATTTTCCTCAGAAGCTTCATGCAGTCATTGCCATTGAAGTGCCCTCCATGAAAAGGCTGAATCTTGATGTGCAATGAAGTTGGCCATTCTGTGGCCTTTGGCCATTTTTACACTAAGCATTTGAACAGATGGTTGACCACCCCTAGCAGAAGGTGAAGCTCCATAGGTGGGATGAACTCCAAAATCAGTGCTTGATCAGGACCAAAGATTAAAGGACTGTGGACAGCATTTTGGAACTCCTTGGATCTTCTTACATCTCCGCCACTACCCACAAAGCTTTGATGTTGAGCTCTTATAGCTCCAAAGGATCGGGGATTCACACACAGAAGAAGCTTTGAAGACTCAATATCACACCAACATCAAGGGTGCTTGCTGCAATGAGACTGGATGCCACAAATAGTGTTTGCAAGTTTCATATTGCAAGAAATTACTGCAGCTTCTGATGGGATTAATTTTTGAAGCTTGATGAGTCGAAAAATCTCTTGCACATTCCAATAATTTTCAGGAGTGTCATCAGCAACAGCCACAAGAAATTGCTTTTTCACACTAGTTTGCTTTGAGACTTGTGTCGTGAGTTTTGCAGATTTTTGGACAGGACTGTGAGGCTCTAGGTTGTTTTCTTCCTCATCAATAACTCCAATGCTCACTTTTAAGAATGACCCTCCTCCATCAATACCTATCTTTGCAAAGGCAGTCTTTGAGGACCCAATTTCTTCTTTAATCCTGTCTTTCAAGTCCTTAATGCTTTTGCAATGAACCAGAACCCTGTTTTCTCCAGAATGCGAAATCTTCTGACAGTAAAAAAGCTGCTGACAGTAAAAAAGTCCTGCAATTTTTGTCCAGACTCAGCAAACTTTTTTTGAAAGTTTGGTTCAACTAATCTTGTTGGGCTGATATGATTGATGAACGATCCAAGTTTCCTCATTCCATTGTTAGACAATCCTTTATTCTGTTGAATTTGAACCATATCCCCTGTTGAAAATCTGGAAGGAAAAAGCTCTTGAGCAACAACACCACCTAATAAAACGAAACCTATTAGCATTCTCTAAAGAAGAATGTGGTAAGTATACATTTTACCTTTTCTGATTGGAAAATGCACCCCACGTCGAATTGTTCCTCCATGAGATGCTTCCTTAGATGCAACAATGGAAGATGCAACTTGTTCAGCTCCTTTAGGATCTGACAATACCAGTTGCTTCAAGTTTTCATGGCGTGAACCAATTGTGCAATGATGAGAAAGGCCTCGTGAGAGAACAGACAAACATTTTGTACAACATTTTTCTGAACTTTTAGGTGGCTGACTGGTTGTTGCAGGCTGGTCTTTTTGCTCAAGTGGGTGAGTTTCTTTACCTTTGAGCCTCCCAATTTGGCAGATCAAACAATCACAGGTGTTTGAACTTCGAGTTGCCGGTTTTATTTGGATGTCTTCAAACCTGTAAATCTTGGTTTACACATCTTAGGATCCCTATCTTCAAACTTTTTCAGTTTAAAACGACATGTCTGACATGAGGCAAGAGGAACTCAGCAGTCATTGAAGCTCAGATCATTCTTGATGAGGCGCTGAATCCTTTGCTTTAAAAAGTCTGTCAGAACTTGGTCTCCTTTCTTCATGCAGATAATGCACACAGATTTTTGACAATCCTCATAGGTTTTTGCTGAATTGGGCATTTTTGATGCACATTCTACGAATTTTTCTTCAAAACTATGATATTTATGCAGCCCTTTCCCGGAAAATAATCGCCGTAATTTGGTTGACATTATTTTGGTGATAAGAATATAAAAAAATCACACTGGTGTTTTAAAATACACCTAATACCATCAAGTAACACTTTATTAACCTTTTGATACTTGTTATATTTGGAAAAGTTGTGTAAACTTGTGTCAGAAAAAATTTTCAGTAAAAGTCACAGCGTTTCATTAAGATAAAACTAATAAAGTCAAATAAGTCTTGCGGAAGGTAATCCCTGATTTCAAAATTACTTGTTATGAGATCCCTATCATATGTACTAACACCCCTCAAAAGAGTTTTCATAGGAGTTGTTTTTGGTATTAGAGTCTAAAATTTTCAAACTGTGGGAATATATATATATATATATATATATATATATATATATATATATATATATATATATATATATATATATATATATATATATATGTTCTAAGTTCTTTAAGTTTTAAGTGTAAGCAAACATCCTCTATACTCCAGTTCAAATAAGCTGTCATTTTTTAAATTTTAACAAATGATATATTTGTTTATCTAAATAAACCCATTCGCAATAATAAAATTCGCATGATCAAAGCATATAGGAATAAGAAAAAAATGCTCGAAAAAAAAAACAAAAAAAAATGTGTTACTTTTATAATCGTTGTTGATGGTAACAACGTTAATAAAAACATCTCAAATGTTTAAAGCACAAATCAAATATTGTCATGATTATCATTTTCTATTGTTACTATATCACTCTTTATAAATTCATACTAGTCTACTTATATAAAAAAAGTTAACAACCTCTTAGAAAAATAAAACAGCGTTTATAAAAGATTTGAAAAACCCTAAATTAAGGTTCTTCAAGGGTTTCTGTAAAGCGATTAGTAGATCCTTGTTGGTTTTTTGTATTACTTTGTGAATAAGCCGCCGGTTCTTCAAAGAACCATTAAAGGATATTAGGAACCCAAAGTTTCTTTAAAGAACTTTAAAATTTCTCCAAGAACCTTTAGGTTCTTCAAAGAACTGGCAAAGAACCCCGAAGAACCCTTTAGATTTAGTGTAGGTCAGAAATAAACTTTATTTATTTGAGCTTACCATCTTTTGAAAAATCTTTTGATTCCTTTGCGACACGATACTTTGTAATCATTTCTTCTTTGTATGTCTGTATAGCATCTAACAATGAATTATACGTCATAAACTGCAAAACATCTAAATTGAAATTGAAAAGGAGTTTTTTTTATATACTTATAGAAGTGTTCAGGATTGTGCATAGTAGTGTCCAGGATTGTAAAGCTGTAAAAAAAAAATTTTTTAGAATTTTTTTTTCTCAAACATCAATCTCTTGCTTAATTAAACAGTAAAGTTTGCTTATTTTTAAAAAAACGCAGGAGCAGCTACATTTTTGTGGCTCCTCTAAAATACAGTGACTCCACGGCTCAGGCTCCACAAGATTAGTAGTGTCACACTATCAAAAAAGTTGCACAACTACACAAAAGAAAACACCAAACAACGTTTTGTATTAGTTTGATTTTAAAGTCTAAACACATTCCGTATTCCTTTTGAGTTCATGTTTAAAAATGATATGTTCTTAAATGATGATGAAAAATAATATATTCTCAAGCGTAAAAAAAAGTTAAAATACCTAGTTGCTGCCATTAACTATTCACAAGTAAATTTTACAATACTTAGGGTAAGGGGGACCATATGTGCGCAGATACGGTATCCAAATGAGTAACCATTTGCTATCCTCGCCGGATACGCAATTAGGGTTTAAATGGGTACCAGACTATTCACTGGGCAACTTATAAGATTCCCAGATTTTCTTCTCATAATTATAATAATAAACAACAGAAAAAGTTTTTTTATATAAAAGCAAACCGCTAAGTACAAAGAAACATTTTTTAAACCGAGTAACAAATATAGCGTCCAACTCAGGTGGATTATCGTTGGTAGCGAATTTTGGAGAATATATTCGACTGTTATTCCCACAATCCATTTCTATTTTGTTTTTTGTGCAACTTCTGTGCTTCAATTGAACTTAACAGCAACTAATTATAAAACAGTATATTAAAAGTACATTAAGAGCCCACATTACCTGGTTTACAAACAAAAGGGATCAACCCAGACTTTTTTAGGTAACGTTAAAGTGGTAAGGGCACCCGATAAGTTGATTATTTCAAAATGGCCTAATCGACCTAAAGATACATCCTAATTAAATCTACTAAAAAATAGATCCTAGTTAAATCCGTTGAACTTAAATCCTGCCAGATAACTAAAAATTGAAATTATATGTTCTACTACTATATAGGATACACTATCTCGTTTCTTAACCCTTAAACTAAACAGAATGAAGTATTCTAATAAATTGAGACTTAACTAGATTCCCTGCACAGATTGACAGCATGCTTATAAAAACTACATAAAACTATATAAATGAAATAACAGTTTATAAAAATTAAATTGTGATCCTTGATTACCATTATATGATTATTTTTTTAATGATAAACATCTTGTCATAGCTAATAGCTTTTTTTCTAAATATTTCTTTACTTTTGTAAACTTGTTGAATTGATTGCTGCCTTGTTCTTTAAAGTTCTTGATGTTTTGTTTTTAACTTCATTATAATTTAGTCAACCAGTTTATCTGACTTATTTAAAATTGATATCTCATTCAGCTCTATTGCTCACCCAATTCAATATATTGAAATAACACGAATAAGATAGTAGTAGTAGATAGAGGTAGTTAATGAATAAGATAAGTAGTAGTAATGAATAGATAAGTAGTAGATAGAGGTAGTTAATGAATAAGATTGAGGTAGAAATCTCCATTGTAATTTACATGAGTATATTAAGCAGATTAATTGGCTGTACAATATAAGCAATGTCTGTCCTACTCAATTTCAATGTTAGTGTCTTAATACTTTTAAATGAAGTAATAAAAATCAACATATACAAAACTGTCCGGATTATGTAAGCTCATAAGACTGCTAAATACGCATTCTGTTTATGACAAGCTTTACAAAAATCTTTAATCTCTTTGAAAATGCTTTTATTTAATGCTTTAAAAAGAGCTTCATATAAATATGCCATTTGTCACTTTAAAAAAAACAAGAAGATATCAAAAATGAAGAAAAGCTGGCAAACAGTTTAGCAAAGGAGAACTATACTAGTTTATGGTATACCCTATTGACTATGCCTCAGGTCCTCCTAACCTATGTTACACATAGCATAACAACTATCGCATCTTGTCTAGCTCAATGAAGCCAACATGGTAACATGTTCCTACCATGCAACATATTTGTATCCTAACCTATATAGGATACAAATATCTCCTAGTTTTTTCAGGCAAAGGCTAGGAGGAGCCAACTCTGATATAAAAAAACACTTGTGGAGCTCTTGGTTGAGTAAAAGCTAGAGATAAAAGTGTCTCGATAAAAACTCACCTTGGGCAGACATTTAATGCATCCAGCTACTGTCTAGTAGAAAGCCTCCTAGGCAAAGACAAAGAGGTAACATATTCTATGTTGACCAGCTTCGCACCCGTCTTCATCTATTAGGCTGGCGTAGATGAATTTGCAATACATTGTTTCCAATTTAGGACATTGAATGCTGGAACCTCAAGACTCAATGCATGGATTTTAGATTTTAGTCAGTGCTAGGATCTTACTTCTGCTACTCAATGGCTGGTGAACTTTAACTCAGATGAGACTCAATAGTTTTTAGCTAATCGTTATAACAATAATCGAGATCTTCCTATATTTATAAACAGTAATATATTTGATGAATCATCTACACTTTTGCTACTAGAATTAACTCTTACTTCTGATTATTCTCAAAAACCATATATCAAATCCATTTCAAAATAAATTAGCATGCATCTTCTTATCGTCCTTGCCACCTTTATACTTCTGAATTTGTCCGTACTTTTATGGAATAGTTGCCATATCTAAGATGGATCTTCCAATGATACCCTTTCTCTTTTAGACAAGGTGCAAAAGCGTAAACGTAGTTGGACCTGTTCTTGCAGCCAAACTTCAATCATTGCCACATCCTCTTAATTATGCTTCTCTTTCTCTTTTCTACAAATACTATGATAGGCGCTAGTGTCTCTTGTCCCATATACTAAAATTCATTCTCATGTTATGCATCATTCAATGAAGTCTTATTCCTTTACTGTGACTGTTCTTAAGTTTACTAAGTTTACTAAGTTACCCTGGTTGATGGCAAATTGAGCTTTATTGATATAATTAATAACTCTGTAAATTATAAATTAAATACTTCAACATTTTACAAAAAAAAAATACACAGTTTTACAAACAAATTTTAAAAGTTTCACTAATATTAATTATGAGCTAGGACTCATTAAAACTCTGATCTAAAGAGCCTTCAAAAAACAGAAAGTTTTAATATTGTAAAAATTAAACAAACTCTCCAATAAAACTCTTCTCTCTACAACTTAATTGACAAAACCTTCAAAAGTTTACTAAACAATCTTATCTCTCCTAAAGAAAACATGTCATCTGAAAAACCATCTGATATACATTACTTTAAACTCCCTTATATTGGAAAATTTTCAAATACATTTCATCATCAATTAATTAAATACATTTAAAATATTGTAAAGATAATATAAAAGTAAGACTAGTTTTTACAACTTTTAAAATAAGTAGTATGCTTTCATCAAAAGACCCCTTACCTCTAAATTTAAAATCCTTTGTTGTCTATAAATTTGTTTGTTCCAGCTGTAATGCTGAATACATTGGTGAAACTACCAGACAGTAATTATTTATCTTATAAAATGTAATTATGGTAACTATTGTAAAACTATTAAATTTTTAATGCAGCTAAATAAATTGTTTGTATATAGAAATTGTAATTTTTTTTTACCTGATGATATCAATTGATATTGATGAAAGATGTTGTTAAATTTTATTTAATAGTTATTCATTTGATATATATATATATATATATATATATATATATATATATATATATATATATATTTTTTCCTTTATATTTCAAAAATAAGGCAGAAATCAGTAATTTAATTAGTGAATAAATTTTATATATATAACCTTTGGTAGGCTCCCCTGCATATCATATCCATAAAGGCGGGAACAAATATAAGAAACCATTTTCCAATAAATGAAGCTTTTTTTTAAATGACAGTTTTTTTTTGGGTAGGGGATGAGTAGAGTGATGGGTCATGTCACTGTATATAAAATACAAACTTTACAAAACTATAAACTTCTATAACAAATCCCATAGTTTTTTCAAATTTTCGTTGAACATATCCTCTTATCTCCTTTCCTTGCTCTTAGTGTCTAATGCTGAATGCCTTCCGCTAAGTAACCATGAATCAACGTACTTTGAAGGATCAAAGCTTGTTAGCGGTGGTTTCACTAATTTTATGAATAACAACATTGAAACTGTTTTTGTCATTAATGAAGCCCTTGTTTGCGTGATGATTAGACTCATCTGTGAAAACCCTCATTCGCATTTACTTGAGGAAATGGGGATAGTACGTAGAGTGTGTGCTAAATAAACTAAATTTTCAGGATATATTTGTTCTGCAAGGTATTCACAAAATCAACGAATCATTTCTCTTTTATTTAACTGTAGTCTTAATGACAGGTTTCTGATTTCAGTTTCTCCAAATGTCACCTGAGTGTTTATGTTTTCAGGCCAATGATTTTGGACTAAGATGCGAGCCCATTGGGCTAAATTAACATCTTTATCAGCAAGCAACATTTTCTCAATTGAATCTTTTAGTTTCATGTAAAAAGGCGTTTGGATCAATAGCTGAATCATTTTTGAAATTTTTATTGTGAACGGAAACTCAATAAAAACGGATATTCAAATTTGCTTTAGTTTCATCACTTTAGTGATGAAAATAAAGCAAATTTGTAATAGGGGCCACTATTTCTTCTTTCTTTGAATACTTGAACAAGAGCATTAACTTTTTAAATATATATATATATATATATATATATATATATATATATATATATATATATATATATATATATATATATATATATATATATATATTTAAAAATAAATAAATATACATAATTCTTAATAACATAATAACAATAGTTATATATATACAATATTATAATAATACTGTATATATATAACTATTGTTATTATATTATTAAGAATTATGTATATGTGCCGCTTTCAGTTCTGGATGAGCTTAAAGAAACGCTTAAAGATGATCTGCATCATCTGATTCGTAGAAATAAAAGTTTACCCCCAAGAGATCAAGTTAGTTTTTTTTATATTCTTTATGTATATGTTATTACAATTTAATGATTACTTTGCTTTAACAGTTAAAATATGGATTATGTAAATTTCAAGGTGTTTATAAAAGTTCAATTTAATATATCTGAAAAGACTGCTAAGATTCGTAAAGTTCCATTTTTTATTTTTTGTTTCTGTATAGCTGGTTTTTTGATGTAGTATTCTTTGTTTTTGTATGGATGGAATTGTTATATTTAAAGTAGTTAAAAACTTTTTAAATTTCAGGAGCTGCTTCATTTTATCATGCGAGATCATGGTGTTGAAAAACATTCCAGCAATCAAGCTGTTCATGCAGTTTTGAATAGTTTGTTTTGTCAACAAGAGGAAGTTATTCATTAGTCTCATCCTGTTGACACCCTCCCAGTATGTTTTATTCTATGGCACAGATTCCAAGTGTGTGTGGTTGCATCAATGAAAGTCACATACCAATCATCCCTACATCAAAAGATGAAGATGCATTTCTCAATCACCACCAGTTTTATTCATTGAATATCCTTTACGTTTGTGGACCTGGGCGATGACATGATTCTAGGGTAAGTTTTTGTTAACTAAATTTGTATAAAATAAATTTTAGCCTTATATTGTTATTTAGATTTAGTTTATTAATTATCTAAATATTTTAAAAAGTAAACAGATATGTATACAACTAGTGTAATATCCATATAAACAATTCTATAAAGTTTTTATTTTCATGGACTTTGTTTCTTATCTAAAATAGATATTATTTATATATGAACAATTTTGATATTTTATTTTGAAAAACGTTAAAATTTATACTCTACAAAATATTATATTTTTTCCATTTTTCATATTTAGAGTATTTAGTATATTAATAACCAGCAACTTTAAAAAATTTAGATTTCTTCTTCAAACATTTTAGGTGTTATGTCAATCAGCACTTTAGATTGCTTTTGAGGTCAGGGGTGAGCAAATTTTTCCTGGAGCAGTTGTCTTAGATGACTATGGCTACCCCTGCAACAATTGGCTCATTACACCTTACAGTGACAACCAAACAGCCTCCAAGCGTTGGTTCAATGACGTGCACCGAAAAACTAGAAATATTACCAAGCGATGTTTCGGGGTTTTGAAAAACAGGTTTTACTTTCTGCAAGTACCTATTTGATTTTCTAAAGTAGAAAATGCTGCAAAACTTGTTGTGTGTGCTTGTATGATTCACAATATGTGCCTTAAAGTTGGCGATATGAAGATTTTTCAGTTTTACCTGCCACACCTTTGCCCTTTCAAGCTTAAGACGACACTCAAGCTGAAATTCAATCAGGTACTCGCACGGATCAAATACTGCAGTTGTTTAACTGATATAAATAAACACAGTTTATTAAATTTTAGTTAAAAAATTTATTAAATTTTAAACAAAAATTTCGAGTTTTTCTCTTGTTAATATCTTATTAGGTTATTAGATTTACATTATATTGGACAGCTGATAACCAAATTCAACCCTATGGAACATAAAGTTTGATTTCTAAGAAAGTAGCCGTATACATGGAGCGTCGTTTTTACTTATACCATTGGTATTGGAAAGGAAAATAAAAAGCTGTCTAATATAATGTAATATCTAGAAAATTTTTTATGTACTTATTTTTGTTTTGTTCAGGTATATAGGAGGTTGGAGTTGAGGAGTTTCGACATTTACTTAATTTTTTACCTGACCCTAATTTGAGTAACTTATATTGAAATATTCTTTAACAACTTAGCAGCTCTCAAATTTTACAGATTTTTAAATCTAGAGTTAGTACATAATATATTCCTTAATAAAAATATAAAAAGTTTTAAATTTGTTTAGGCAACAATTTTTAAACAGTTTAATTGCTGCAACAATTTAATAAAGTTCTGTAATAAAACTTTAATAAAGAATATAAAAGTTTTTATGATTCATTAAGACTGAAAGTATTTGGTTCGGATGTTTGAGCGTCTTGAGGAGTTTAAGACTGGATTTGAGCTCGGAGAAGTTGTTGCTCAAGAATAACTTTTTCGATTTCCGCCTTAAACCAATTTTCTCCATCAGATGACGTTCAGCTCTGTACTCAGCCTCTTTATTTAACATATCCAGTTTCTGCTTGATTTTGGCTTTCTTTAATGTGCCGTACTCATTATCCAAAAAGATTTTAGATGACGATGATGCCGGTCGTTTTGTCAAAGACTAAACAATTTTACTTAAAGATGCTTAAAAAAATATGTGAAAGTGAAGACTTAAATTATGCTTTATGACGTTTACAATTTAAAATAAATTTTTGCATGCATATGATAATATCAATTAATAAGTGTTTAAAAAATTAAAAAGTTACACTTATATTTTAGTGACTACTTAACACAAACTAGATTGTTATTAACTGGGCACATAGGAAGATACAGTAATACATTATAGCAAAAGTTAAATGATTATTATAAAATAGCTTCTTACAGAACGTTTAGTATTTGTAGATATAGCTGGTATATTCTGGGCAATCGATCTTGCAGCTAAAGATTTTGGAACTGTTTCGGCAGACGTTTTAGAGACATAGTCTACGCTAGAGGCTGGATTAACTTGTACAACAATGCAAGAGCTTGATGAACTAGCGTCTTGCCCAATTGAGATTTCTATAAATTAGAGTTTGTTTTAACTTAAAATGAAAACATTAAAAATTTTAATTTTATACATATGTTGCATTTATCAACCACCGTACCACTTTAACATCTACTTTGTAATTTTTATTTAGAATTTTTATCAACAACTGTTATAACTGATTCAAATAACTTTTTAAAACATCTTAGAAAAAGTTTATTGATTTTTAAATATGATACAAAACTACCTGGGTCTAGGATGTCTACTGAATTATCTAAAGAAATGTTTTCATTAAGAACGGCATTGCCGGCAATTTTTTTTTATCAATACTTTTTTTCCAACTCTCATATCATCAACATTAACTGGTAGAATATGTGCTGATTCTTTTCCAATGATCTCCATCACAGTGCATTCATAATCGAATAATTTACCACCTTCAGCACCAGATTTGTTGAGTTTTTTAAACTTATCCATTGTTGATCTTCTTAGGTTTTGCCATTAAGTTGTCCGAACATGTTCAGCTGAAACAGTGAAGAAAGACCGTGAGCTACAAGAAGATTTCTAACTTCTTGCCATTTTTCTTTTCGATCTTGATGTTGCATAATGGAGAAAAAGAACCGATCATTTTCTCTTTGTTTTGCAAAATGAAATTAGCCATAACAGTTTTCTGTTCTTTAGTAAGCATTCTCATAAAAGTTAGTTTTCTTTTACTTTCATGTAATTATTTGATAGAAAACAATCATCTTTATATAGGATTATAAAAATATTAAATTATGCTTTTGGTTTTTGCAAAAGTTGCTAAGAATTTGCCACAAGGAAGTAAGGCTACGATTGCCACAAGGAAGTAAAGCTATAATTAAAACCAAAATGGTTACTTTAAAATTTAAAAATAGGTTTAACAATGATAACAAGTTATTCAGTGCAAACCCCTTTTCTCGCTTAACTTAAGGTAAAGTGTAATTAATGTTTCAACCATACAAGCCTCGTTTGAAAATTGAAACATTTTTTTTATTCCCATCCACTAACTTTGCTGGTAGAGTATTCTTCTCCTTTTTTTTAACGTTTTTATCTTATTTATTTGTAGGCTAAATAAATATTTAGTTTTCGAAAAAACCGAATTATTTTAATATTTTTATCATTGCAGAAATAATGCCAATTTTTTTTATAAAATTTTTATTTAAAAATAGGTCATTATTTTTTTTTTAAACTTTCCTATGTTGGTTTATAGGTGTTATTAAAGCGATATCTTGTTTCGTTGTTTTTTAGTTAAATTTAAGTTAAATTAGCGCGCAATTTCAAATCGCTTTTGCGAGATATATTTTTAGATTTTACATAAGAACGCCAATTACATAAAAACGTCTTTTTATTTAATTTTAATAATAAATAAAAAACGTTTTTATGTAATTGTATACAATTACATAAAAACGTGTTTTATAGGACGGCTTAAATTTTACAATGTAGTTACAAAATTTCGGCGTATTTACATTGTAAAGTTTACAATATTGTAAAAGTTTTATAGGATAGGGCCCATGATAATAACTTTAAATTTGGTGATTATGATGTAATGTTTCATATTGACAATTTTAAAGCCTTGATCAGATCGTCAAAATTTTGCCGCTCCATATTAATCGCTTGGCAATTTATAAAATATATAAAATGTTATTTAAAGTCCATTTAATGGACTTTAAATAACATTTAAATAGATTACCGATTTTTATAAATAAACTTACTCTGGAAATATTTTGCGCATGCGAAATTATTGCCATATTTTGTAAGTCTGACGCACGTACTTAGGGCCTGACTATATGAGGAAATATGTCCCGCTTTTCCGAGACGGAACAATTACTCGATGTACTTAAGGACGGTTTTTTTATTTTTTCTTGAAGATTTGAACATTTTACTTGCCTTCGCAAAAGAACAAAAGAAATTTTCGAGTGATACGGATCATATCTGATACGCATTTTATATCTATTTAAAAACAACAATTGCCGATGTGATTATGAAAATAATAAAAAATTAACTGTCCTGAATCATACAACAGTTCAGGTTATGTCTGCTCCACACCTATCATTTTATATTTATTCTTTATATTCTCACTTTATTTCAAAACGGTAAAAAATAAATGGTTAAAAAAACTTGGCGCAACATTTCTCTCGGTGTTTTTTGAAATTTAAAGATTTTTATAAAGATCCAACACCCCCTCTCCACATGTGTGGGGAGGTAGTGTTGGATCTTTATAAAAATCTTTAAATTTCAAAAAACACCCAGAGAATTTTGACGATCTGTGAAAATGGGCAGGTGAAAAGAGTTATCTTAATTAAAAGTAATCAAGATTTAATTCAAGAGCTTTTACCAAACTAATGAAATGCAAAATAAAAAAAATTTACTTATGTAAGTCTATTTTTTTTTTTTTTTGAAAAAACGAATATTTTTAAACATTTTCTTACAAATTAACAAAATACAACAATAGTAAATTTTTTTTGCCTTAAAAACACGTCATTCGATTATAAATTTAAAAAATGTAATTCAAAAAATCAGTGACCCAAACAGCGAGTCATTGTAGGTCTGTTCCAAACCAACCATTAATATACTTGTTATTTAAAGTCTATTTCAATAGGTTTTAGTAAATGGTAAAATAGATTAATAAAACATAATTAAGTTAAACCATTAAAACCATTATGCATAATTATAGAAATGAAAGAAATAATACAAAATGAGCAAATTATATATCTTCATAAAAACCATCAAATAACCTAACGCGAAACGCAAAAAACATATCTTTTCAACAAATTAACAAAAATTTACTAATTAAAAAAAGCAAACATAACAATTGACAATTTTGTTTTTCTATAGAGTACAAGTACCAAAAACCCGACAGTTTTTGATAAGTGTCGCACAAAAGCGGACACGTATCGAAAAAACTAAATATCTTCACTATAAATAAAGATGTTTTCAAAATTTAAAAAAGTTTTTTATTTTTAGTGTGTGGAAAATAAAAAAAATAAAAAAAAAAAATTATTTATATGATTGCTTTAATTTTATATTTAAGTTCAAACAAAATCTAACGCTAAAAAATCAAACTTTTTGGGGAAAATTAGGTTCTTAGCATAAAAGATTTAAACAGGCAATTTAAAAACAAAGAAAGCTATTTTGTTCGAAATTTTTTGCTAATTTCAAAAATAGTTTTAAATCTTCATAATCTTACTCCATTAAAAAGTTATGACAAAAATAAAATTTTCTTCAGTTCTCGCCTTAAATCGGACACAATAAATTTACCCTATTTTTAATTAAAAGTTCATAGGTTAATATCTTTATTATTTTTTCACTCTAACTGAATTTTTTTATTATGTTAAAGTTTATTTTATTATTGTTATGTTAAAGTTTATTTTATTGTTATTATGTTAAAGTTTATTTTATTATTTTTTCACAACGACTGAATTTTTTTCATTTGGGATTTTAAGTTTTTACACTTTCATGTTAACTAGTTTTGTACTTTTGCACTTATACTGTTGAAGTTAAAGTACAAAAGTACACAAAGTAACCACAAAAGTGCTTTGTTTCTTCATTTTCAAAAATTTTTAACTGAATTGAATTTACTAAACTTACAATGGTAAAAAATAAAATAAATATGCCTTACACTTGCTGGTTTTGAAAACACTGGGCTCTTTCCATTAAATCAATCATTAAATCACATTGGCAAATCAAAATTAAAAATTTGTCAAACTTTTAATAATATTTTAATAACATCATCAGCAGTTACAAAATCACCACGCAGCCCAAGGGACATTTATTTCTCATGTAATTGTATTATCTCGTCTAAACGAAATAACTTACTCATAGCGCGCATGCGTTAATGCAACTCGATAATTTTAAAAACGTCTTTAAATCATTTTAAATGTGTTCAGATAAAAATATTTAGATGGAATGATGAAATGCTAATCTATACATACATATAAATATTGAATATATTGGAAAAGACTTTGATAGTGATAGACGTGCGCAGTACACATTTTTATGAAAATAAATGACTGGTAAATATGAAAATAAGTTTGTTAATTTCTTTTCATATTTACCAGCCTACATGTGTTCCAAGTCTAGTATGCACAAATAAAATGTTAGAAAATGAAATTGATGAAATAGAAGAAGATATCAAAGAAAAAAGTAGATTAGTTAAAGTTGGCTACCATCGAATCGTTGAAAAGGCAAAAGAAATAAGACAAAGATTTACCACAGCAGTATTAAAGAGAAGTCGAATTGGTAGTGGCAGAATCATTTTAGAGCATTTTTGTTTGTTACGAGAAATATACAGTGGCTCAACATCAATAAAATCTTTAGGTTCAGGAATTGATACTACTTTAGTGAACAATAAATTATCTTCACTAAATAATAGGTTGATAGATAATATTTTTGTGGAAAAAGAAACTGATATTGATAAAAACAATGTTGATTTTACCAGTTCTTCATAATCTTGTAAAAAAAGAAAAATTGAAGCAGATTTATCTATATTGATTGATGAAAAAAATATATATATTTTAAAAAAGTTAAGTGCTACCCAACGTGATGCTTTGCTATGAAAAGAAGCAAAAGATGAAATAGAACTAAGTAAAAAAGTTGTAATAATATATGCCATAAAAGAATCAAACCAAATATTTTCTGATGCAATAAAAAGTATTTGTGAGCCAATGAAATTTTTAACGGAAAGCATGAAAATCTCATTTCAGTTTTTAGGACAAGGATATAGTAGCTTACCAGCTTACTTTTATAAACAAGGAACTTACTTACTCTCATCTCAACAATTTTTTGTCCATCCTAGTACCCGATGCCATTCTTACTTAATTAAAAAAAATCAGTTTTTAGGACTCACCAGCTTACTTTCATAAACTTACTCTCATCTCAACAATTTTTTGTCCATCCTAGTACCCGATGCCATTCTTACTTAATTAAAAAAAATCAGTTTTTAGGACTCACCAGCTTACTTTCATAAACTTACTCTCATCTCAACAATTTTTTGTCCATCCCGATGCCATTCTTACTTAATTAAAAAAAATGTACCCGATGTACCCGATGCCATTCTTACTTAATTAAAAAAAATGTACCCGATGTACCCTTACTTAATTAAAAAAAATGTACCCGATGTACCCTTACTTAATTAAAAAAAATCAAGAAGAACAATCTAAAAGTTTTGACAGACAATAGCGTAGTATTTGTTTAATGTAATAAGTACTTAATAATGAAAAAAAATCATTACTTTATCTTACTTTATTTTAAACGTTATACTAAATGTATAGTTTAGCTAACTAGAAATAAAGAACACACTATTTTTTCAAAAAACAGTTGTGTTTTGCTTTGATATTTTTTGTAGTCACTATTGTATTTTTTTGAGTTATTATTACATCCAGCAATATACTGTGTTATTACTTCTTTTATTAATGATCTTTTATCTGTGTTGCAAGAATAAATATATTGTAGTACTACTTCTCTTATTAATTTATCCTGACAACCTTTCATCTAAAGTAGCTCTTTTTGCTGATGACTCAACTTTATACTCCTGTCTTGACAAAAAGTCCTCTCTTTTCGATCGCCTAGAACAAGCAGCTGATCTCACTTCAGTAATAGATTGGTGTTCACAGTGGCTTGTGAATTTCAACTCTAAAAAAACCCAGTTGCTTACTGCAAACAACTACCGTAATATGGTCAACATTCCTTTATTAATGAATGGCAATCCTCTTACTGAGTCCTCCTCTTTACGTCTTCTTGGATTATCGCTTACTACTGACCTTTCATGGAAACCATATATACAATCGATTGCTAAATTAGCTTCTGCTAAGGTTGCTTCTCTTTATCGTGCTTGCCATTTCCTTACTTCTGATTCCATTCTCTACCTCTACAAATCTCTTATTCGTCCCTGTATGGAATACTGTTGTCATATTTGGGCTGGTTCTTCTAACGATTCACTTTCTCTTCTTGACAAGGTCCAAAAACGCATTGTAAATGTTGTTGGACCTGGGCTATCTGCTAAGCTTGAACCTCTTTCCCATCGTCGTAAAGTTGCATCTCTTTCTCTTTTCTACAAATACTATCATGGTCACTGCTCAAAGAAGTTATCATCTCTAGTTCCATCAACTAAAATTCATTCTCGTTTTATACGTCATTTAGCTAAGTCTCATTCGTTTATTGTATCTGTCCCTGCATGTTCTAAAAACTTTTATTTATCTAGTTTTTTTCCCCGCACTTCAATCCTTTGGAACTCTCTCCCATCTTCATGTTTTCCTGACTCATAAAACCTTCAACTTTTCAGGTCTTCTGTCAACCGTTTCCTTGCTCTATAACTCTGTTCTTTTTTTTCCTAGTAACTCCCAACTTGATAGTGGTTGCTTGCAGCCTTGTTGGGAGTGAATGCAAATAAAATTAAAAAAAAAAAATAATCTTTCATCTGTTTTGCAAGAATAAATAGAATCAACTTTGACAGAATTAATATTTTCTTTAATATTTTTTATCACAACTTCTTCGTCTACTGTTATACATTTTACCTCGCAAAATTTATGCAGAACAAAAAAGGCATATATAACAGTGGGTATATTTTCTAGTTTTGAGGTCGATTTTTTTCATAAGTATTGCCCATTGTGCTTTAAGGCAACCAAAAGCACATTCTATTTTCTTTCAGTTCTAAGTAAGGTATTGAAAACTACTTGATTGTTATTTTGGCAGTGTTAATACTCTTTTCAGCAGAAAGTTGAAAGAGGATATGCTGGATCACCTATTACATAGCATGGAACTTTGCAAAAACCTGACAGCAATTCTCGATAAATTTTAGATGTACTGTTCGAAATTATTCTCAAGTTAAATGTTGAATTAGAAAACACTTTAGCATCATGAAGTGATTCAGGCCATTTGCAGTCGAAATCCATAAAAATCTCTTTGTAGTCACAAATTACTTGAAGAGATTGAAACCCTTTGTAATTGAAGTAGTCTTGTGAAGATTCTAAAAGTCTTCGTATTGGAATATGTTTCATCGATAAAACCAAAAGCTTGAGGTATATTAAATTTTTTTCAATTTCTAAAATTTTGTTTTTCATTTCTGTTTTGTCTATAGGAAGATATCTTTGGTCCAAGGTGATATTTAATGGTCTAATCACAAACTTCTAATACTATTTTTGACACTGTGCACTGATGTATACCGAACGCATTAGCAGTCATCCATAGAGACCCCGTATCTTTTAAATAATATAAACAGCATGCTATTTTTACCTTCAACAGATTAAACCAAAAAGTTTCAGAACTTTCTGGTTTAATCCATATGCTACGGGGAATTGGCCATGAACGTTTCTCCACAGCATTGATAATTCTTTGTAAGAAATACTTTCTTTTTTGTAAAGAAAATC